TTAACAAAAAACGAAGTCCAGATGACATGATTCAACCTTTTTTGTTGATGTGCTTGATGGGTAGACCGGGTCGGGTTTGGGCTTTTGATGTGATTTTAATTGCGCATGTGGGTATACTGTGCTTTGAAACCAAAGTACACTGATTATTACAATGTAATCGGCAATTTATTTTTGATTTTTAAGCATATTGAACATTTCCAAACTTCTCTGATGCTTATATTTGAATAAATGTACAACAAACTTTGTATAACAGTTGGCCTTGTATTAAAAACATGTTATAGAATTTATAAAACAGTATCAAAGAAAAGTGCTGCATACCGATAGATTGTTACGGAAGCGTTTAACGTATCAGTGACACGTGCCTAATGATATGTCCTGTATCAGTGGGCACTTTTAAGTAGGTATACTGAAATTCTTAAGCTTTTCTATTGAGTATACTCCATATACCTGGATATCACATAGACTACACCACTGTGCATGTGGCCTTGCCCACCCTTTGCTGTATCACATTTCTTAAGATTTGCAATTGACCCATAACAAGTGACATAATGGAGCTGGAAAGTATTAAACAAAAGCTTAAGATGGGAGAACTCACTCTACAAAGACAGCACAGTGAAACCTGCTGATGTGTGTCAGGTCAGGTGCACACTCAGGTCCAACCTGCCGGTTGAAAGAGGTTTAAAAAAAAAGTTGCGTTAAGCTTCAGATGGGCAACCGGATCATCGGCCGCGCGCATCCCGCTCCACACCCTACTCTTATCTGTGGTGAAGGAAGTTGCAGCATCTGAAGCTACACAAGCCGAAGCGAGCAGCGCGTTCAATTAAAACAGCCTTGTTCTATATTTTTTCCAAATAATTTTGCTCTAAAAATATTTTTGTTCGTCTGTATAATAGCCTATGTTTAGAGTTGAGTTTTTAGGCTATTCGTTTTGTATGTTAATATCCATTTGGTGACTTGTTAAATTTTAAAACTATCATGTCAAACTGATTCACTTACAAAAGCAGTAAAAGTTAAACTTAAAAAAAGTTTTGTTTATTTTTAGGTCTGGGCCTTTAATTACAATTAATTGATGGGGTCGGGCTCGAAAAAAAAAAACCTACATGGGCTGGGTCAGATTTTTTTAAAGCCCACAACTGTAACCCTTTTCATAACAGTGCCCTCTGGTGACAATGGATAATTACAGCAACAGAGCTAAACAAACATTTAAACACAACGTCTGCACTTCTTCTCTGAGGTCCATATCTCTTGACGGTTTCTTCAACATTCGTGCAATATACCCAAGCGTTTCAATTCAATGTGACTCCGAGTGAAAACTTGCAGATTTTGTGTCCCCAGCCAGTCGCCAGATGTCACATTTGCTGGCTGAAATACTGTCTTTTTTCTAGAACTTTGGTTGAACAACTCTGGATGTGAAAATGGCAAAATTCTGATGTAGAGCCAGCGTTAATTTTCTTTCTTTCTTTGAGACTTCATAGAGTCTTGGCACAGATGAACGTCATCCAGGCCTCTTGTTTTCTGCCCTCAGTGGAAGGAGAGAGGAGAGGCTCCAGCGTGGACGCCGCTCAGGTCGTTGGTCAGGGGAACGTCTCTCTGAGCCTGAACAAGCTGAAGGTTATTGATGAGGGAACCTACATCTGTACTGTCAGTATCGGTCATTTCCACGCCCAGCAGCTCATTCAGCTCCTCATTATTCGTAAGTTTCCCTCTGATCTGATTTGTCATTCCCTAATCCACCGCATGCTTTCTTTCATATCCTGTCAATTCTTCTCTTCTTTTTTTTAGAACCTCCAGATGTTTCGCTGTCAGAGGAGAAGTTTGTTTTAAATGCAAAAACACCAAAGACGTTAAGCTGTCACTGCAGTAAATATTATCCATTAGACGCGCAGGTCAGTAACTGTGCTTTTAGATTTAATTATTAACTAATATAGAAATGTTCTCATCTCCTAAATTACATTTATAACTTGCACAAAAGCAGCAGTTATACACACATAAAAAAGTAAAACAGATTTGTTTGTTGAGTCATATATGTTGTTTTTATTAATATACCTACAGGAAAGACTTTTGGTTTCTATATGCAGAAGCCGTCAGTTTGAAATTAATCACTGATCTTAACCCTCCTGTCTTCCAGATGGAGTGGTTTTACCTCTCTCCAACAGATGCAGAGCCACAGGTTTTTCCAGATAAGGGCTCTTTAAGCAGCCATCGGCAGCACGGTGACGGGACGTATTCTTTGTCATCTCACCTCAGTGTGCCGCCAACTGTCCCCCCGGGGACCAAGATCACCTGCAGGGTGTCCCACCTGGCGCTGGACGCTCCACTTCATCTCACGTTAGTGGTGGAAAGTCCTCAACCAGGTATCACAACAAATCTTGTATCACTTCAGAATTTACTTCACTTGTTAAACTAATAAAAACTACACAAAAACAGCACAAACAAAGAAGAGGCTTCAGTTTAATACATCACTAATAAGATGTGTCAATTTTTAGAGATAATTTTAGGTCAAGGTAAACCTCGACAGACCTCCCTTAGAGTAAATTAACGTTAAAATGTTAGCATTAAAAACTATCTCAAGTTGAAAATCCCACCTTTTTCAGGAACAATATAATATTTTATGTCCAACTTTCCTATTTTCAGAACAGAAAATTAAGAAAGAATTGACATTCCACATGAGTTTCCTTGTGCAGAATGTTAAATATACAGACTGTTCTGTGTTTCGTTTCACTCTGCAGATTCCTATTGGTGGGTCCTGGGGTTCCTCATCATCACCGTACTTTTCTTCCATCAGGTCATGAAATAGGTTCGTTTTGGATTGTTCTTATTTGAAACTGAGCCCAGAATAGTTTCTTTGTGTCAATTAAACTGTTTTTAATGGTCATATTTTGCTGTACTGGAAGAACACACACTTTTTGGGGAAACGGTTGCATATTGTCCATTTTACAGTGTGGTTGTGTTATTTATTTGTTTTGAACATTTAGCGTTGATCATGCTTTGCTCACATTAATTTTTTTTTTTTTTTTGGGGGGGGGGGGGGGGGTGTGGGGGGTAATGGAAACATTTTGCCAGCAGAAAACATCCAGTCTCACTCATTTTTGGTGGTTATTCGCATATTTTTTATAATGGAGATGAGACAGTGGGAGCTTCCTGCTTTATTTCATCAGTAGGTTAACAAGCAAGATTTATTAAAGTAATTTATGCAGATATGGAGTTGTCTTGGCCCTAATGTTTCAAAGGGCAGCCTTTATTTATCATACCTAAAATGAACCACTATGCAATGATCATTTAAAGAAACTTGAACGAGGTATAACATCCAAATCCTTCAGGAGTTTTTTGAGACTTTTGAGTCCCATCTTGCACCGGAAATCCTACACCTAGTTGAAGCCGCTATTTGTTCTTGAAATAACCACAGAATGCGATGTAAATAATTGTGGAATGCGACGATGTCAGTAATGTAAAGGTTTATAAAATTTTGTTTGTACACACTGTTGTAAATTGTTTGAGATTGAAGTTGTTTCATGCTTTTACCTGCTCAGACTAGCTGTTTGCTCCTCAGTCTGGTGCGAATCAAACTCTTCTTCTCTAGAATCTGGTCAATCAAAGAGCTATCTGCAGCAGGTCAGATATTAATTGTTCATAACCACAAAATCTATCTTAAAAAAGGTCCAAACAACCACTTGACTTGCATTTAAAGTAGAGCTCGGTTTGGTTGTTTGTCAGTTCTACAGGGTTTAAATGTTGTGTCATGGTTTGGCATTTATTTTTTGTGTTACATGGTTTCTCTTATTCCTGTTCTTGATCTTGTAATTCACCCGTGACAATAAATATTTGTGTGTTTACCAACAACACAATACATTCAACATTAATTATAAAGCACTTTAAAAAAAACACCCCTGGCCAAAGTTCTGTATGCTGATAACACATAAAAACAATAAAATCAATTAAAACGGTAAAAATAATAAGCCGGTAAATCATAAAAACAAACAAAAGAACAATAGAAATGATATTTATTAAGTCATCAGTTAATATCAGCGTTACTACAATTCTTGTTGTAGTGTGTCTTGAGAAATTATCAAGAGCAAATGTGATTTCTTCACAACATCCCTTAAAGTTGTTTTTCTTTCAGCTGCTCCCTTCGGCAGGCGTCGCCACAGCAAAGGAGGTCTGAAAGAAAGGTTGGACCATTGTTTTATGACGGATGCCCTTCCAGATGCATTCTGGGCTCCAACCCGCAGCCTCACCACTGAGCTACAGCAGCGCCCACACTAACCCTTAAAGTAAAAGAGGGGAAAAACTGAAACAAAACGATGTGTGCTTTAATCAGTAAGGGTGACAAACCAATATTATAGATGTTTTAACTATTTTTGCTCACATTTGAAATCAGAAAAGTAGTGGGGACCCGCCCAATTTTAATCCAGTTTTTTACATTATAACCAAAATGATTAAAAAAAAACATAGTATTATCTAATCCAACAGAAACTTAACGTGGCAGTTCTAAGGTGCATTCATCTGCTTCTACATGTTCGACACATCCGTGAAGTCCTCACCTGATTCAGGTTTTGTTTTTCTGTTTTCAGCAGCATATTTGCCCATAAAATCAATTTTTTGACTCAGTCGTTTGTAGAAATCCAACTTCAGCCAAACTTGACTGAAATCATTTTCAATGTCTCCACATGAACCAAAGTACAGTAGTCCCTCGTTTATCGTTGGGGTTTCCGTACGCTGCCCCCAATAAGTTAAAAACCGCAAAGTAGGAATAGTAGAAATTTATATATATATATATATATATATATAGGTGTTTTAAACCCTTCCCACACTTCCCACACAATATTCTAAACAATGTTTCTAAACGCTTTAAAAGAGCACAGAATGTCATGATCTCAGCTCTCTGCCTCCGGCTGCTCTCTGCCAGTGCTCTCGGCCACGCCCACTTCTTCACTGCAGAGAGCAAAGATATGACACGCTGCAGGAGGAAGCTTCTCCTGCAGCTGTGGGCTGCACACTGATGCAGCAGGTGCTAAATAATTTAAAATAACATTTTTAAAATAAACAATCCATGCCGATCGTGCACCAATCAGCCAGTTGTGTGTCTCGTCCAATCTTTGAAAAACTGCGATAGAGCGAGTCCACGAAAGTCGAACTGCAAAGTAGCGAGGGACTACGGTATAGTTATTTAAGGCTTTAAAAGCTTCTAAAAATATATTTTCAAGCACAAATGGAAATTTCAAAATGGTAGTTTAAAAAAAAATATATATATAAATTATTTCCATAGAAAATGTAAAACTGTCATCGTCTGAAGCAGCTAAAGGAAAACGTTTGCCAACGTTTAATTGATGCCACGTCAAAGTAAAAACACCAGGATTCAGTTCAGTTCATAACTTCTTTATTGGCATCAGCAAAAGTGGTAAACATGCAGATGTTTTTTGCTTGGTTGCATCTCTTACTTCATTTTCAGATCACAAATCGTATCCTCTTCTTTCGTGTGGTAATTATCCAGTAATGTTGCACAACACCATCAGATCATTTAGACTTAGCGCTACAGTTATGCATAAATGCACTTATTTAACAATCTTCAAATCAGTCCAAAGAAATACAAAATTAGCTCCATTTATAACCAACATCCCCCCCCCCCCCCCCCCCCAAACCTGAACGAATTAATAAACACGTATTTAGGAGCATGACCTATAACACTACATGGTTTCTGACAGTTCACTATGATAGCAGTTTTTTTCAGTCTTTAAATGGAAACGTTTGTTTTCTTCAAAGCAAGTGATTTCTGTTGAATCTTGGCAAACTCGTGAGCATCGTCGCACTTTGCACAAGCAGTAAGTATCCGATCAGAAAGACATTAAAACCACTGACAAAACTAAATGTACAATCGGCAGTAGGATTCAGAAATGGCAGATACACGCGTCACACAAATATGGATATTGTTGGCCATGCAAGTTAGACATGAACACCTCATTCTGGTTACTGTGCTGCAGTGACGGATGTTTTTGTGTGAGTCAGCAGGAGGTGGGATGGACACGTGGCTCTGAGGATCACAGTCCTGATTTAGTTCCTAATTAATGTTTCTCTGAAGCTCAGGTCGACTCAAACAGTAAACACTTGTCTCTGAAATGTTTGAAATGTGGCACTAAACAATCTGTCTATGGCTGAGACTCTGGCTCAGTCAGAGTTAGGAGCCTTTCCTGTGCGTCCGTTCAGTCGTGCAGCAGATTGTCTGTCAGAAGCTGCTTTGTGTGTTTGCTTCATGCCCCCAGACACCGTACAAAAACCCAGGAGCACATGAAGTACAATTATAAGAATAAATTGTTACTACGTATTAGTCAGGAATTAACTTGAACATATTTAGGAAAAGATGTTGCCAGACATCTACTTCTTGTTTTCTAACTTTCCCACAGTTCCTCATTTATGTCGCTGCTGCAGAAATAAAAGACAATTTAAGTAGATAATTCAAAACAAAACCTGTTAGGTAAAAATCTATTAGCTGTTGACCACAATATGATTGTATTCTTAATCTAACACTTTAGTAATGACGTAAGCAGTAGTGACAAATAGAGTTTTAGTTAATGTCAGTATCAATGTACAAATGTAGATATCTGAAAAAGGTCATATGAACAAGCTTTGGCGTATCTGAAGTAGAAATCCTGCAAACTTGTTCAGTCTCCCCTCACATCTCAGTGGGTTTAGCCTCACGTGTTCCTGTCTACTCTCTTCCTTTTACTTGCTCCCTCTTTCAGTCTGCCAGCTGCAGCCGTCAATAATACATGAGGCACAGAGAAAGGAGGGAGTGAGCCAGGGCGGTGGAGGAAAGCAACGAGGAGGAGGGGAGCGAACAGAGTGGAGACACCTACAAACGCTACATTTTAAGTGCAGGATGGTTGGATGGACGACTGAGTGAAGAGAGGGAGGAGAGGAGTGGAGCTTTTTTCTCTCTTCCCTTTAATGTTCTCCTGAAGTTCATATTCATCTGTAATGATGGGCGAAGCTCAGTGGAAGAAGTACACTGCAAGGGGGGGAAAAGTAGAAGCCATTAGTCTGATGAATCCTTTAAAATATCACAAACAAATGTTAAAAAAAAAGAATGCAAGTGTAGAGTCACATCTAAATTTTATGCAGATGTATTTTTACAAACTAAAACCTGTCTTAAAACTGATTACATTTTAAAACTAGAAAAAAGGCATTTCTTTCAAAAATGCAGTGTGAATGCTTATTGCTGAAGAACTTGCTAAAAAAACAGCTGAAATTAGCTAAAAATATGCTAAACTATAGCTGAAATGGAAGAACAAGCCTAAGCAAAAAGAACACGTGTGCTGAATTAGGTTTAAATAAGCAGAAATTAGCACAAAAATAATTTAAAAAAAGCTTAAATTAGCAACAAAAAAAAAAAAAGCTGAAAAGTATGACAAGGCAAAAAGAAGCTGAAACTACCAGAAGGAAGTGTAAGGAGCTGAAATGACCTAAAAAAAAAATAGGGAATTAGCTGTAAAGGCTAAAATTTGCATAAAACAGCTAAATAGTAGCTAAAATACAAGTAAAAGCTGAAACTTGCAGAAATAAGCTGAAAGTAGCATAACAGTCTGAAATTAGCAGAAAGAAGTTAGGAGAAGCCCAAAAATGTTGTACTTCGCAGAAAGCATTTGAAAGGAGCGCAAAACAGCTGAAATTAGCTGAATGTTGCTGAAAAAAAGTTTAAACTTGCACAAAGAAGCTGAAAGAAGCTGAAACAGAACAAAATGTGAAAGGAGCAGTAAAAGTTTGTAAACAAATCAAAAAATGTGAAGGATGTAAAATGAGCTCAATTCATTTTTTATGAGGAAAAAAATGGCAGAAATGGTTAAATATTTCAAAAAGCTAAAGTTGCACCAATACCAAAAGTCAGAGCAGGATTGTCCTGAAAGAGCTGAATGTTTTGATATGATTTGTTGAAATAACTTGAAAACTGCGAGACGAGAATCGCACCGAAGAAAAATGGATCACAACAGAGTGAATACTTCATAAACATTCACACAATAAAGGCCTTTTTTTTAACAGAATGTCTATCACCCGCCACCTTTCATTTCAGAGTTTTAAACAAAAGTCATCAGTTGAGATATGAAGCTGTTGTCATTTAGATCAAACTTTAAAAATCATATTAAGTGATATAATGCGAGATGTCATGCTGAGAGTATGAGTTGGGAATGACTCTCAGCTACTACCACATCAGATTGTAGCTGCATCTGCAAAACTGACCAAGTTAAAGGAGTTTCTTCGTTGGCTAATGTGGATTAGCTGTGGCAGCCATCTTCTCTTGATGTGGTTCTTAAAGTTAATGAGTTGTAAAGCCAAAGATTACTTCCTTCAAATGTCCTTACAATTTGCCCAGTGCTCCAGACAGACATGCAAACAGGTTCAGACAACAACAATAATCAGTGCAGGTAGGACAACACCATCTTTTACTTACAGAATATTATTCCAACCACAATAACTCCAATGATACCCATCATGATCATCATCTGGAAAAGAGACAGAAATGATATTGTCCTTTAGTTTAACGCATACTAAAAGTCATCTTAACAACACAATAACAATACTGTGAATTGTTTGTAATTGTTGTGGTTCTGGTAATCATTTCTTTTAACTTTCAGTAAAACTTAAGCATCTTTTTTTCATTTTCTCTAAAACATGATCAGACCCAACAGCAGCTCATTAATAGAAAATTTTTTTAAAAATCTGACTTGTTGTTTCCCCTGAGCAGCTTCAAACACTGAAAGGCTCAAACTCATATCACATCGTTAGTTTTTCTGCTTCCGGTGACGTGCCCACCTTGCAGTTTTTCCACCAGTACTTGTTTTTTAGCTTGGCTGCGCAGCTTTCAAACTGGGAGGCTCCGGCCTGCAGAGCATCTGCTCTGTCATCCAGCTCTGAAAGCTTCTGGTCTCTTTCCAAAACCTTGTCCACATTCACCCGCATGATGTCCACCACCTGGAAATAACAATGATGAGAGAGAGCATTAGACAGAGGAGGAGGAGGAAGAGGGAGACTAAAGGAAGAGAACAAGGCTTCTCGAAAACCATGTCACAAGTGACAAAAACCTGCATATTTTACAGCTAAAACGATCAGGATGTCTCATGATTCTGAGGAAAAGTTCAGATTTTTGGTCAACAAAATGTAAAATCAAACTATGAGTCAGAACTTCAGTCACCTCCTCTACTTGGGCCTGAGTCTGCTGTAGCCTGCGGTTACTGGAAGTGTTGGGTGGGCCGGCAGGGGGGCCGGCTGGGGCTCCATCTGCACCAGGGGCACCCGGAGCACCTGGAGCTCCAGCTGGCGGTGCAGCATCGGGGGCAGACCTGAAAATTAAAAAAAATTAAATTAAATAAATCACACGATGGGAGAAAATTTGAACAGTGGATCAAAGAAGAGATCAAGATGTTGTCTTGTAAAAAATGAATGTTTAAATCCGTCAGAGCTGATGCAGCAAATAAAAATCACTGTCACACACGCACCGACTTGATCAAATTCAGGGGAAAGTCTTACATTAATAATAAAAAAATCATAAAAGGAGATTTGTGTTAAAATGTTCAGATCATCTCCTGGTTTAGAGACTTGAAAAGTTGAGGTATAAAATGACAAAGAAAAAGCTAAAGCTTTAAATAACAAGGAAATAATGTGTAAAACAGATTAATGTTGTATACATACAGTATTTATTGTTGTCTTATGTTGTATTGGATTATTGTATTTATTTAACCTAATTTGCAGCATTGTCCCTCTTTTTTCTATAAATATTCTTGATGCTGTAACACTGAATTTTTCTAGCTGGGGATCAATAAGTGCTATTGTAACGTCTACGAGGAGCAATTTAGGTATAAAAATTAAGCAAAAGAGCAAGAACGCATAATTCATAGAGACAGAAGCAAGAAACAAAACTAAAACACTAATAAAGGCTTTTTAAGGCAGTGATGGCACAAATAGAAGGGATTGGGAGAAATAAATGTTCATTCACTCATGTGAAACATTGATTTTCTATCCATTAACACCCTGGTTGTTTCACGAGAGCTGGTTAAAAATGATTAAAGGAGGAAGACGTTATTGTAAAAAGTTACAAAGTTGAATTGGTCAAATGAAAAAAGGAGTATATATATATATATATATATATATATATATATATATATATATATATATATATACACACACACACACACTCTAGTTAACATGCTGATCATTTGTTATATTTCATTCACATTCATATTATGAGCTGTAACATTAAGATTAATGTTAATTTTTTAGTCTTTGGGATTTAAAAACATCAAAAATCGTTTCAGTTTACTGTTCAGGGTTTTAAAACAACCATAATAAGCATCTGAATGCGTAATTCAGCAGAGCTCATGTGATGGAAAATTTCACTTGCGTCAGCAAAATCCATCAAAATAAAACAAATGAGCTCAGCTTTAATCTTTATGTTAGATAAAAAAAAAACTAAGTAAAAAGATAAACAAAATCTAAATATATCCTATTTGTTACCTATAAAATAGTGCATTTGATGCTCTTGCGGAAAGAGCGCAGTAAAAAAGCCGCATTAATACTCACATCTTCTCTGCAGCTGTTTGAACTGATTCACAGGCTGCTGAGGAAGAGGAGGAGGAGGAGGGTCGCTGTGAGGAAGGAGAGGGAGGGTCTGAAGTACAACAGGAATTGTAAAAAAAAAATCCCAAAAAAGAAGCAGATCTGTTGGCTTGTCCTGCTAAAATGAAGCTTTTTAATCGGTAAAGAGCTTCGGGTGTGTTGAAGATGGCGCAGATTCAGACCTCTAAATGTGGCAACACAAAGCCGCTAACTGGCTGTGCGCTGAGTCAGGATGCGGGGCTGGCTTGGATGATGATGAAGAAAAAAAAAAAAATCAGTTTTAAATCCTGAATCCGGGATGTTTTGGTTCCTGCGTGCAGCCCTGAAGTGATGCTGAGGATTCCTCCTGGATGCTGAGCGCAGCGCTGATTGGCTGCTCGCGCTCTTCCACTAAAGCTGCTCAAATAATTTCCTGCGGTTTATATTTATAAGATAACTATGAAGGGGAAAGAATGCGGTTAGAAGGAAAAATCTCCGGTTCCTTGGTGATTTATGTCCCCCTTCCGGTCGCTTTCTGCGCTTCTCCAGAGAAAGTGCACGCGCTACTTTGGTTCGTGCAAAGTGTTCCAGCTGCAATAATGCGTCTCCCCCTCCCCCCGCCTCCCTCCCCCTCTCTGCCTCCTCCACTTGGACTCGTAACGACAGTGCGGCACCTCCTCCCCTCCCCTCCTCTGTGGTGCTGCAGCTGGTTCGGATGGGGCGGCGGGACGAGACTGCGGAACAGAGTGGATCCTGTTGACTCGACTGTTTTCTCTCCTGGTCCGGGATTGTCCCGGTTCCGTCCTGCTCCTGGAGCACAGTTAGGCTACAAGTCCGATTTGAGACCTACTTCACACTGTGGAAAACACATTTATTATTATTTTTAAGAAAAGAAACAGCCTAATTATTCTCCTGTGGATGGGTTCGGTGCTGAGAAAAGTATTCACCCCCTTCCAGATGTCTTCTGCGTTTGCTTTTCTTTTACGTTTATATCAGCTCATAATAGCACACAAAGATAACCTTAGTAAACACAAAATGAAGGTGTCAGATTTTATTTATCAAAAGTAAAAAGCATGTCCGACTGGGAGGAGACCCCGGGGAAGACCCAGGACCCGCTGGAGATACCGCATATCTCTCATTTGGCCTGGGAACGCCTTGGAGTCCTCCCAGCAGAGCTGGAAGAGGTGGCTGTGGAAAGAGATGTCTGGGCCTCCCTGCTCAAGCTGCTGCCCCCATGACTCGACTCCAGAACAAGCAGAAGATGATGGATGGATGGATATCCAAACCCGTGTGAAAGAATCACTGTCCCATTTATTAAATGAATAACCTAGATTTATTTTGAAACTCTGCTCAGTTTGACCCCACACCCAGGCCTGATTCCCACCAGACCTGAAGAATGAAGTCATCATGTAATTACACCTATTATACACAACTGGAGAAATCAGAACCTTCTCAGCTGTGGCTGGACATCTAAAGGAATCAACGCTGACCCAGCAGGAGGTCCCAAAAGGACCCAAACGCCTGAAGCTCTGCAGGCCTCACTCGCCTCAGTTAAGGTCAGATCCAAGAAAAAGTAAGAGCCGAAGAGGAATAACGGTTTCTACGGGAGCTGCCCAAAGCAAAAACCACTGCAGACTAAAACAAACACAAAGACTCGTCTCATATTTATATAAATAAACATTTAGATACAATAAAAGAAAAACATGATGATGGTCCCGTTCTTTGGACTCGAGACAAAAGTGGACGTTTTTGGCAGGTGGTCGTCTCGTTCCGTTACATCTGGTGTAAAACTGTTTCAGAAAAAGCCCATCGTACCAACAAACACGGTAGTGGTAGTGTGATGGTCTGGGACTGCACGGTTGCTTCAGAACCTGGACGACTTGCTGCAGCTGATGGATCCATAAGTTCTGCTCTCTTGACAGAACCCCCCCCCCCCTTCCCCCCTCGAAGAACGTCCAACCTTCAGTTTAAGCCGTTAAGCTCGAGCTTGGATTTGAACGATGAGCCGAAACGCTGCAGCCGCATGAGCGACTGATCACAAACGCCTTCATCATGACGGCACAACCAGGCGGGAGGCTCAGGGTGCACGGACCTTTTTGCTCAGGGTTTTACTTTTCTGTCTGATATCAACATTTGTGGCACCAGAGAAAGTTTGTAGGGAGGTGAACACTTTGTTACAGCGCTGTAACCAGCCATTTTTCTGCGTTCCTCTAAATCAAATGCTTTGAAAAGTGTCTCAGTGAGATTACCCGTGTTAATAACGAAATTAACTATTATTTTATTATCGGTGCACATATTGAACCTCTGATAAGGAAATCAAACTGTCTGTAGTGAGCTCTATTACACATTTCTTTGGTTTAAAACCCATCAGTGAAGCTCAGCCTCACCATAAAGTTACGACTGACTCGGCGCCAGGTTTTACCACACTGATGAAAATCGTCCAAAAAAGCCAGAAGGCGACAAAAACAGCGTTATGTGGGCTCAACAGGAACTTGGAAGACCAAATATATCAGCAGCAGGTTCTGAAGGCCCTGCAGGTTGCACTTCTGACACCACAGATGCTGGATCAGAATCAGATGAGCTTATTTTAAACACCAAGTTCTCCCTTGTTCTTGTAGTGTGGACAGAGTGCTCACGAGCTGCAGCCTTAAATGCTGAGGTCAGATCCAGATAATTGCCAGGACTCAAAAGTATTGCTCAGAGTATCAGAGTGTAGCTGCTCATTAACCAGCATGAAGATTTACAACTCTGGAGGAGCTCTTGTGCGGCGGTAGAAAACATCAATAGTGATCCTGTCATTAAGAAACCTTCCTCGGACCTCTCGTTAGCACCGAGCTCTAAACAACAAAGCCCTCAGATCTAACTAAATGGTCTTGACCCAGTTGCCCAGTCATGCCACTCGTATGACTTGCACCTCTTCTTGCTTCCAGCGTGTCAACTGTTTATTATTCTGCCTCTGAGAAGGGGCCGTTTAAACAAGCGAATCAGTGGCGTTTTCTTTTCCGTCATGTGCTTTAAGTCGATGCATTCATTTTGGATACGTTCACACCGTTTTCAAGGCGCCCTACGGTGCATGGAAACGTGTAGGAAATAATTAGTTAGCATGTAAACAAGAGCTTTGAAGATAGTCACACTGACATTTTTGTTCTCACCATTAAAGTTATTTCTGTTGTTTTTGAAATGGACCATCTCCCTTGTAGAAGAAATAAATTCAAAGCAAAGTCCGTGTTCAGGCTTTTATGTCGCTTGCTGTGTTTGGATAAATCAGTTACAAACACCAAAAGAAAATACTCAGCACATACAGACACAGATTCTCTTCATCGTTACAGCACAGGATGAACTAACATCTCTGACAGTTCCTTATAGATGTGATGCTTTCTCTGATCATGTGTACACGATGGCATTAACGGTGTTTTCCGGTGCGGTTGAAACGTTTGTAGAGGAAGCGGATTCTCTTCTCCATGTTGTGTTTTTCCATTGTCATCATTCTGTCTCCCACCAGCTTCTTTTTCCTAATCAAACGCTGCAGTTCATTACCTTTAAACCCTTTCACCCAGCTGGGGCCAATAATTAGATCTTTAGGATGTGCTTTAAAGTCCCCTGCAGAAGCAAAGAAAACACAGTGAGAAGAGTTGCAGCAAAAATTAAGAATAGTAAGAAAAAGGAGAGAAAGGAACAATCTCAGCTAGAATGCAGTTTTATTATTTTTTTAAAAAGAAGGGATTTCCAACTACTAGATATTGTTTGTTGTTGTTCCTTGATAATATAGTTAAAACAATGATTGTGAGTTATTTGTTTTTTCAAATAAGCCTTTTTTTTAAATTGAGATTATAATTTAAAGTAGGGCCTTCTTTCTCCTACAAACCAAACATAATAATCTTAGTAATCGTACAATAAAAGATGCTTTGAATCCATAGTTGCAGGCACAACCTCCAAACACTCACCCAAGATGCCGATGTTATCATAAACCCCATACATGCTTCTCTTCTCAGTCCATCTGTCAACAACTTTTGGTTTAGGAATCCCGTGCATCCTAATCTGACAGCATGTTCCTGAAGGACACGTTTCATCATCAGTACAGTAACGAGTGAACAAAAATACAACCGCTAGAATGGTAAATTATTCACATTAACTGAAAGTATTTTTAATTGGAGTGGGTTTAAATATGGCACATTTTATTTAGAAAAGTTCTGACATTTTTGATTTAGCCTTTTTGATTTAAGATTTGCTGTATTTTTTAGGTTCTGATGAACTTTGACATAAATATTCTTTTAAAAAAAACAACAGATTTTTATCATATGAATGAACAAATGAAGCACTGGGATAAGAGAAAACTATTACAGAAAACATGTAAATACCATCAGAAAATAATCACATTAGAGGACACACTTCTGCAAATGAAAATAACATGTTTGATTACTTGAGAAGCTAGAACATTTACTGAATGCATAACAACTATTTATTATGTAAATAAACTTTACTTGAGCATTCCTAAAGAAAACGTTGAAATAATAGAAACGTTTGTTTTGGTCTGATTGACATGAAGCCTGGTGGCCAGGTTTTTACACCAAAGTCACTCGTATATAAAAAGGACAAAACAAAGCACATAAAGGGTCAAACTGGTACAAACAAATGCTTTGCAGAGGAACCAGTCTCACCTGTGGAAAAGGTTCTGACTGGGTTCAGCAGAGTCCCAGCAGATTGACAGAAAGACGCTCCAGCTCTCAGCAAACCTCCCAGAACAGACATGTCCAAGACCTACGATAAGTAATGTATATCTATTTATTCATCTGAAATGTTGACAGGTAATTATTACCAGTCAGCTCTCAGCAAGAATAAGACTTAACAAGCTTAAAACCTCAGAGTTAGCTTCAGTTAGCTTCCTCTGCGATCTTTACGTTGACCTTTAGCTTTAGCTAGCACGCTACATCAAAGTCACTGTTGTGCTTGTTACCTGTTTCCGTGTCAACAAAAGCTTTGGATAAGCCGATTATTTTGTTAACGCCACAACAACTATGTAATTTTGATAATGTCACAACTAAAACAGAGATGATATTAGCACTTCAACATGCTCTCTGCGAGCGCTACCATCTTACTCTGTGTCCCACAATGCAACGCGCCCGGGTGGTACCGTAATGTTGGTTGAGCAGCGCATCAAGAAAAAATGGTGGTTTAGGGTTCCGGCACATTTTCATTTTCACACATGAGCCACTAGAGGGAGCCACCGTGATCAGGTAATACAGCCATAAAGTCAGTAAAGTGTCTATCTCTGTGTCTATAATTTATTTATTCCATAGAAAAATGGCAGTTTTAAATTGTCTATTAGAACATTCTAGTCACTGGACTCAAAGCACTTATTTAGTTCATTTATCACTTATTTAGTATTTATAGTTGGAGGTTTTTTTTTTCTGTGCTGGTTTTTGACAATATCAACCTACATCACTCATAAAAGCAAGGGGACACAAACAAGGCAAAAGACATTTAAATTAAAATGCGTGCCTACTTTAGTCAAACAGCCTGAATATTCTTTAATGTAGCAAATTAACATGAGACATTACCTCTACACAGTCTGCTCAATACAAGTTAATTGGCATAATGACATAAAACATTTGAAAACATTATAATTAACACAGAGTTATTACAACCATAAAACTTGTTTTCTGCTGTTTGAACACCTCCGAACATTTCCAATAAAATTAATATTTATTGTGTTTAGTACATTTCAGTATTTTGTTCAGCCAACGAATTGCTATAAAAGCAGAAAAGCAACAAATTGCAATAATGCTCTGTGTTCATTTGTGTATTGCAGTTTTATAGCTACCTTAACTTTTCTTTTTGATTGACATATGAAAGAAACTATTCATTATGCATCAAACCAAAACGCAAAGCTGATAAATTGAATAGAATTGCTAAAAAACTTGCAGTATTTTGCTCTCACAAATAAATAGAGACACGGTTGACCACATGTGTGCTTTATTGTATTTTATTTTAATTTTCCAATAAAAATACAAATTTCTGTAATGTGATCATATTCTTTTATGTGTGGAATTATTCTCTATATCTAATTCATCTTATTCAGGGTTGCAGGAGGCCAGAGTCTGTTCCAAATGTTACTGAAAAGAAGACTGGGTACAACCAGGAACCAGCACTCACTAAGGTTTGGCTCGAGGGCACCGTCAACAGATGTGTTCAGATTAATGCCCAGTCCAGAAAGGCAATGTATAATGTGCATCTGTGGGGGAAAAGACATCTAGATTTGAAAACATAGCAGTAAAAAAAGAAGAGTTCAATAAATAAAGTTTAAAGAGCAAGCATACAAAACACAAATAGCACACAGAATTATCCTTCATAAGATAAATTATCTTAAAATATTTGAAAATTGCTGGCTCTAGTCTTATTCAACACATACAAACTACAATAGACTCGTTAAAATCATTGTGCAAGTAAAAATATATATATTTAAACATCAGAAGTCTGAGTGAAGAGGAGATGATACAAGGTTTAAGTGTATATAAGTTGGCAATTTCTCACAGGGCTAACACACAAACATGAAATTATTTTACAAGTGCTTGCCCTGATCAAAAACATGGAGGACATGTCATCATTCACTTCCTGTGGTGATTATTGCCCCACACCGCCACCAAAAATCCCAAATATAATCTCACACAGACGAGTTCCTGTTTTTTTATTCAACCTTTATTTACATAGGTGACTCTTTGAGTCACAAGGACTCATTTACAAGAGAGACCTGTTTTAAACCAAAACCACAGATGAGATACACACAACAATAAAACAATCCTATAAAAGCACATAAAATGAAAAGTAAATAAAAGAAGTGATATAAAACCAAATAAAAAAACACGCTATATTATAAAGCGGTGTAAAATACTAAAAACAGGAACGTGTCTGCGTTGGTTTTTACCATAAACTTAGCAGTTGTTTAAAATCCCTTAAAGTGGTCAAAGTCGAGAGCTTCAGATCTTTTTACAAGGTGTTCCAGGTTACAAGAGCAGAGTAAGAGAAGGAACTTTTGCCAAGTTCGGTCTGCACTGAGGGGACACTGCAGGTAATGAAGTCTTGAGAGCGCATGCTGTAGCTGCACTGACGAAGTGACATGTCGGAGGAGATATATGAAGGCAACAGACCAAGAAGTGATTTAAAGATGAAAATATACCAATGAGAGAGTCTGTGTGAAGTTAATGATGACCATTTGACCAATGAATACAGGGTGCAATGGTGGGTATGATAGTTACAGTCAGCGTCCAACGTCCGCAGGGTGCTTGCAGGAGCATTCATGTAAATCACGTTACCATAGTCAGTGGAGGGAAGGGAAGTAACAGTTACAAGGTGTTTCCTAGTGTTCAGATTTTGACAGGATCTATTTCTGAAAAAGAAACCCAATTTTACTTTCAATTTCTTTACCAAGTTTTCGACGAGGCTTAAAAGAGAGATGTGCATTGACCAAGATTCCCAAGTATTTGTAGGAGTCGACAAACTCAATAGGAACACCATTTGTAGATAAGATAGAAGGAAGGACTGCTGGTATTGACTTCCTGTTTGAAAACAAGATCCCTTTGGTTTCATCAGCATTTAGCACCGTGTGATGGAACAAATCTGACTGGAGGATGTCGAATGCAGACTTTGAAAGCTGGAAAACCTTAGCAACTGATTTAGCTCGACAACAAACAATTGTGTCATCTGCATAGAAATGTAAGGATGCATCAGGAATGAACTGACCTGCATTATTTATGTAGATTGTGAAGAGGGGGTGTCCTAAAACTGAGCCTTGTGGTACACCATTGTTGACAGTTAAATAGCTGGAAGAAATACCATTGTATTGTTACCGTTACTGTAAATCATCCCATTTCTAAGACAAATCCAAAGTTAAAGATAATACATGTTTTGGGAAGATAAATTCCAGAACATGCATTCTAGGCTTCAAGCGCCCCCCCCCCCCCCCCCCTTCACCTCAGTGGGATTTGCCTGGTTAAATAAAGGTTAATGAATAATGAAAAAATAAAGCTTTTTATTTAAGACTTTTGTATTTTGTATAACGTAACAAAAAATATGTTTTAAAGCCAATATCTAGTTTTCGAAATATCAAAGCTTTTTGCTAAAGTCAAACTTTTTGTTTCACCACTCTTTCCAACAAAAACAAGACACTTTTGACACAAGTTTGCACGATGTTCATGGTGAGTACCTTTCGTTTCCTGTAGATTTGTAAGTGTTGGTCATTCAGACAAAGAAGCTCGCCTCCTAATTTTTAACAAGTTTGCAAACAATCTGATGTTGGCTTCTTTTAGATAGTTTTGTACCAAATCCTTTCTTTAATTTACCATTAAAATGCTGCTTGTTTCCAAATCTGCAATGCAAGCTCATTCTGCCAACGTCACAGGAGAGACTAAATATTTTAATCTTCTACGAGCGTCTTAGTTCAGCGCAACTCCATAATCAGGTCAATAATCCTGTAGAGTTCGTTTGTTTAATTTTTTTTTTTTTTGGCAAATACAACTTTGGTTTCCTTTTGTCACAATCCTAAAAGTTATTTTTAATCTAAATTTGACTCTGTGTGTCTCTGTGAAATAAGTGCAGCACAAATGATCTGAACTCATTGATCTGCTTTAAGCGTTTAAGCCTCCAACCTCGAGTTTTGCTGAAAACAAAAGAGCCTGCCCTTTTTTGAATCCCTGTGTAAATAGACACGCACACGCTGACAGATGTGTGTACTTTCAGTCTTACTGTTCTAGGGAGCTCAGTGGAATAATTCTAATTTTCAGAAATAACAAGCGCAACAAACATGATCTTTGTCAGCATTTCATTCTTGCTAAATCGCCCTTCACTGTGTGGAAACGTTGGCCCAGATGAAACGTTATTAAGCGTAAGATTCCGTTCACTTTTGCACGCGGCGGCCAGTGCAGAGAAGTCGACTTACTGTAAGTGTGCAGGATGTTTTCGCCTTCAACTGAACATTTATGACATTTATAAATAAATGCAAAACCCAGTGGGCATAAATAAAATAACACAAACTGGAAGAAAACAAATGCACAAATTTATTTTACCATCCTCACTTTTATTTGTTGACCTGGTGGAAATGTTAAACGTGAGCATTTTTCATTAAATATCAAGATAAATGCTCGTAGATACTCATCTTGAGTTTATGCAGCGCTCAGCTTCAGAGCTGAGCAAAATGCTGACAGAAAACAAAAGGATTTTCACAGCAGAGCAGAATATTTATCAGCTTCCTCTGCCAGTAAAACTCAGTGGAACAGTGTTTAGCATCACCTACTCATGTAAAATACCACCATCATCATTATCTGTTATTGAAATTAAACCACAGCAACAATCCAAGAGTCTACTCTGAGCAGAAGATTAATATGTCAATTCACAACATAAAACTTCTACAGGGACAAGAGCTGAGTTCATATAATGAAAACCTGACGCAGGAACAAACTAGTCATCTTCAGAACTTCTGAAAAACCTGATTTGATTATTTTCCAGCATTAACATACTCATCATCCTCTTCAAGCTCAGAGTGCAGTTGTTCCCACGTGAGGGGCATTCGTCTTCACAGAGCCTCCACCTCAAATTCAGATCCAGTGGCGATGACTAAACATCAGCTGTAGGAAAGACCACCTTACAGTGCGTGACACATACGAGCCCCCTACACAGGCAGAGATTCTCAGAGTTTGTGTTTTTCAAGCTGAAACTGAGTTTCTTTGAAGTCTGGCAGTGGTTTATGTGAGGAGGACGTTCAGGAGGAGATGAGACGAAAAGATGAAAAGCTACAGTTTTACTTACCACAGGTACCGAGTCGCACGACTTTTACTCATACTCAAGAAAGTATTTCAACAAAAACTACTCTGAGGGTTGAATCAATCAATCTATCTATCTATCTATCTATCTATCTATCTATCTATCTATCTATCTATCTATCTATCTATCTATCTATCTATCTATCTATCTATCTATCTATCTATCTATCTATCTATCTATCTATCTATCTATCTATCTATCTATCTATCTATCTATCTATCTATCTATCTATCTATCTATCTATCTATCTATCTATCTATCTATCTATCTATCTATC